TCTACTTTGAATGTTCCATATACCATCTTTACAACTAATATCACAGAATACACAGCATACACAGCAGAACCAAAATTCAGTGACTATGTCTTGACAGAATGTTTTAATAGATACAAATGATTGTTCTCCAGCTCTGAAACCATAAATACAGGATATGGTATTTTTCTTCAAATGTTAAATTTTAAAAATCTAAAACAGGCTGAACAGGTTTTAATGAAAAGCAAAGCAACAATAACTCTGTTAATTACATAATACTACATGGCTATCGTTCAGTCACCTGTTCATGAAGCTGATACACTGAATAATGTCAGGAAAAGATTTGCACAAGTCACACATTAGCTTCAACAAAAAAAAGGGAGGGAGGGTCTTGACTGTTGCTTAAACACTTTACCCTGCTCCCCTGTACCACAATTAGGACGTCTGGATAGATCAATGAACTTCCTAAAAGTGCTGGGGTAGCATACACAGAATTCTGGATTGTTATGCACGTGGACTGAAAGTGGAGTTTTAGATAGATGAATGACAGAGCGTGTAATTGCTACTAAACATAATGCACAAGCCACTTACCCTCACAAGATCACTCTACGGGCAATTTGGCAACTGCTGTAAGCACAACTACAGAGCTATCTAAAGCAACATAAGAAACTCAAAGGAAAACTATTGGATTTTGCAAAATATGATGCTGCAGAAGATTACAATAACCTAGTGCCTATTCTGTTACCAGATGGCATCATTTTTGCAGTGCAATATGGACAACCATCTCAATTTCCAATATGGATCTCAGCACATGGATATGGTGTGTATTTTCCTACTCTTCACCAGAGCTCAACAGAATGCAATTTGGGAGCTTTTTCTACATGCCTTCACAAGAATGTTCCATTCTCTCACTGGTATAACCACACAAATTACGCTCAATGTGGACATGGGTACTTATGCAGAGATGAACAAGCTCCTAATAGAGAGGTACTTGAAGAGTTCCAAAGAAGGCAACTGGGTACTGAAAGATTCCAGCCACAGATTCAGTGAGGCAGATCTGGATCAGTCCCTAGAGTGCCTCAATGCCATTGGTTAAAAAAAAAAAAAAAAAAAAAAAAGGAGGAATGAAAAGGTAACAGAACTGTAGCCTCAGCACGTAGAAAATGGGCTTTCCTCTATAATCCATGTATCCAAATTGCAACCCAAACGAACAAATTGTTCAGTCTTGTACCTGATCTTCGAATGATGCACAGTGAATCAACACCAGCACAAAAGCAGCGTGATCATGTTGGTGGAAATAAAGAGATGATGACACTTCAAAAATTCAGATTATTAACAAGTGAGTCAGCCTCCAGCATGTTGCAAAATATTGCAATGAAAGATTTGGCTACAGAAGTGACTCTGGAAGCTCTCCTAAATGAGGAAATATTTGGCCAGGAGAACATGAATCTCTTTGTTCAGGAAAGAGTCATGACACCAAAGGAAAGAAGATCTCATAACAAATTCTGTGACCTACTGAGGAGGACAAGGGCACTGACATTTTTCTCCCTCTATGCTGCTGGAAAAGAGCTGAAAAGATAAGGTAGTCACAATAAAGGCCGATCTTCTGATACTAAGTGCATAATTATTGCCTATAAGGACTGTGGATTTGCAAAAAATAGTGTGTCCTGAGCAAATGCTAGTTCCATTTAGTCTGAGGTGAATGGGTGTCTAATTTTAAAAGTGTATTATAGCAGTCTTATTTCTAACTAGAGACATCCTTGTCCTCATGCAATAACACTTAATACTACATCCTTTCTAGTGAGGGATGGTCAAGCATGTGTAGTGGCACTGGGAAAACCTTTTTGATGTACAATCATTGAAGCCCCTGCAATTATGTTTGTTGAGTGAGATCATCATTCTATACTGCATTTTAGCAGGGTAATGTAATCTTTGACAGGGAGAGTCAGGATTCTATTAAAGGAATTATGGAACACATGCTCCAAAGCTTCTGGGCCAGTGGATCTAAACTTTTTGGCCCACAGCTCAATGAAGATCTTTCCATGGACCACCAGCCAACTACCCAACATGATAAAATAGGTGCAGGAGTGGGTAAGAGTATGGGATCTGGCCGTGAGGTTGGGTATAGGAACAGGCTGAGGGTGGAGGTCTGACCAGGAGGTTAGGTGCAGGAGTGGGCTGAGGGTGAGGGGTCTGGGTGGGAGAGAGGGATGTGAGAGGGGGATTGGAGTGCAGGGTCTGGGAATGAGAGGGATGGGGAGTTACCTGTCTCCATCTACTCGCAGACACTTCCCCCCTGCTGCTCCCAATCACGTTGATGCTGGCCAATGGGAACAGCAAGAAAAGCCTCCAGGCAAGCAGTTTCCTATGTTTCTGTTCCCCCAGCCACAAAGGAGTGGGAGCAGCAGTGCACAGAACTACTTTCTTCTCCCAGAAGCTGGATGCTGCCTGCAAGGCTCACATTTGCCTCCCCCCATCCTGCAGCAGAAAGCCAGTATTAGTGCTCCAAACTCGGTGGAGGTGGGGGCAAGGTTGGAGTGCCAGCGCAGGCTCCTCGCTAAAGGGAGTGTGAACCCGAGCCCTCAGCCCACCTGCAAGTGTTATGTGTGGGCCATGAGAACCAATGTTCATCTGGACCAATTTGGAAAGTCACTGAAGACAGATCTGTTCCATTCTACTGCCAGCCGGAACACTTAACCCATCCCAAAAATAAAACTGATTTGGCTTATTTCATCTTTGAAAAACTCCTACCCAAATGTTCCAGATACCAAAACAATTTTCATATCTGGACAGTTTAAAGAAGGCAGTATGGCTAAAACAAACCCA